AGTTGCCACCCTAAGGATGACTCTTAGTTCAGTATTGGATCCAACGGGCTTATAACCTTGAGAACTGTGTGGCATGTTACTTGTTATTTCTTGGTACCCAGAAAATTATTGGTGTTCATGTTGTAATCTGTTTTAAGTGAAAAATGTCATTTATTATGTTCTTGAGAGACATAGTATTTTAACTGTTGAACTGTCGAACCTTCTTTTTGAAATAATTGTCTTTACCAAACTATATGCCAATCTAGTTTCTGTGATATATATCTTATTTTGGAATTGAACCATGCTTTCAAAACTGTATTTACTATCTATGTTGCTACTCACTAAGCTATTAGCTGACTTAGTTGTTTATCATTTCCAGGTGTTAGAAGGATTTAGAGTGAACTTGTGGCATAGTGGGGACTCAATTGCATGGACCTCTAGGACATTCATTTATTTTGTTTTAGATTGTTATGTCAAGTTTGTGCATATTTCTTTTTATTCTTGTTAAGGTTCATTTAGGATTATTTTGATATGTGAGCTATTTATATCTCATAAGTTTAAATGGTATTGATTACGGTTGATTTTGCCATTTATACTTGTGATATGTGTTTGGATTGAGTTTTGGTTATTTTTTATTGGACTATTGTATAGTTGTTCAATGTGATTATAGATTCATGTTTAAGGCTTACGTGTGCCTTGGGCTAAGTCCTTGTGGGCCACGGCCGGTCATGCCTGGATTTGGGGTGTGACAGTATATACGCGTCTTATGGACTTAAGTATTTGTGTGCATATATATGGATATGAAACTTGTGTTGTTCATTTAAGTCCTCACAGCTCTTTGAACATTATGTTTTAATATTTACAAGCTTCCGCTGGCCCCTCTTATTGTATAATTGTTATTATTGTCAAGCAGGCCTTTGGTAATCACAAATTACTGGCCGATTACAATACTAAACCCATAAAGGCGGGTTTAAGTCGTGACATGCGGGCAGGGACTGCAGCGGTAGGGAATGGATGATGAAAAATGGCTGGTGACGAGTAGTTAGAAAGGCAGGGGAAAGGGAAAAGGAAAGGAAATGATAGGATATTTTTGTCTTGTAAATCATTACATTTTTTTTGCAATTAGTTTTTTAATTTTTCATGTCCATCGTAATTTTGGGAAATATTCCAATGATATGTAATTTTCCCCTATTTTTCTATAATTTTCTTAAATTTTTATCCGAACAAAAAAGGATTATTTACCAATAAATCCTACTTCACAAACTGTTATACCAAATAGTCCCACTTTTATTCTATTATACCAAATAGTCCTGTTGGTGGTTTGATTTGGTCCTTTTTGATTTTTTTTTTTTATTTTTGTTTTATTGCGTAGACGAGAGTGCCCTGTGTGTGTCTCCCCGATCAAGGCTCTGTGCTATCCGCTTATACTCCACCCGAAACACACACCATGTGAAGCACACACTGCAACACATATCCAACAATCCAAAGCCTCAAAGGCTTCGTCGGAGACTCCTTCCGACTCACCACCAACACCGACAAAGCAACGAACACGAACGCGAAGTTCCACAACAGATCCAGAATCACGATCGGCTTCGAGTACGCCCAATCGCTCTGCCTCTCTTCGATCTGCTCGGCCGCCGCCTCTCTTACCTTCAACTCTGGCTCGCGCATCATTCTCCGACTGCCGCGGAGGCTCGGCGGGCAGCGCACGAACCAGCGGCTCAGGAAGATCTGATCGGTCAGCAACGGCGTCGCATCGATTAGCTATTGTGTGTGTGTGTGTGTCTGCCCCTTGTAATGTATGTGTGTATCTCTGTGTGTGTGTGTGTATCTGTGTGTGTGTGTCTGTCTGTGTGTGTGTGTCTGTCTGTGTGTATCTGTGTGTGTGTGTATCTGTGTGCCCCTCACAATGTATGTGTGTATCTGTGTGTGATAGGAGAACGATGGGACTAAACGGTTTAATAGAATAAAAATGGAACCAATTGGTTCATAAGTTCAAATTTTGAGATTTATTGGTAAATCTCCCAACAAAAAACATTTTGAATGACAAATTTTTTTAATACTTATTTAGTTGATGGAACAGACCATAGAACCTTACGGAGGAGTGGGTGTGTGCACAGAGCATTTGGGTGGTTTGAAAGTAAAATAATAAATCAAATAACGGATTGACATATAATTAAATCGTAGATTGGGATGAATTGACGGATTAAAAAATATTTTAACTAATATCAAGTATTTGCATAATATATAATAGAAATTTACATAATATTTTTCGTATATATAACACAAACTAATTTTACATAATATTATATATATATATAAAACTACTAATTTATAACAAATTTTTCGTCTTAAATATCTCTCACACTCATTATTACTTTGATATTTTATTAGATGTTAAAAAATATATTTGTAATAATTATAGTAAAATAGAGCGATTTCGAAAATAAATTATAAAATTTAGAATTTAATTCGTAATTAACCGATAGAACAATACGTATCTGTATGATTTTAGTGAATTTGGCAGTATTATGTACAGTTCTAGGCAGGAGCTCAAAAGTTCAGAAAGGCATTAGAAATTGAAACTATTATCATTGTTATTTTTGTTAATTACATCTAACAAATTATAATACTATTATATTTTGACCTTACTCCAATGGACCCTAATTCTTTGTTAAGTGTCATTGTGCGAGTCAAACCCCGATCCATCATAATCCTCAATAGCCACAAAGTTAATATTTGGTAAATTAATAGTACTTTTCATGGTAAAATATGCTCATACTTTTGCTTGTATTGAAGAATAATCCAAAAAAGACACAAAAAAAAAATGAGAAAAGGTAGGGGAATTATTATATAAATTTTTTTTTATAAGTAAAAAAAACTTTATTGATAAAAAAAGTAAGATACATGCGAAAATTTACATCAATAAAGAAGGAAAGTGGAAAAAATATCATAGTTAACCTTACGAATCCCAACTAGGTTGACACCAAAAAGGAAGTACAATCCTTTGCTAGCACGTAATCTATGATTGGTGAGAAACCAATCAAAAGAATCAAAAAGAGAGAAAGGAGAAAACAACAGAGAATTACAATATAGCAACACACTTAGCAACCTAACAGTCCTAAACTAGTTATCATATAAATGAGAAATACAAAAGACTAGTTAGAGCATTTCCAATTCCTCAACAATTTTTTCATCTAATTTTATTCTAAATTTGAGTTAAAAAACTTGATTTAATATAAATTACTTTAATCCTTTCATCAAATTTCAGTAAAAACTATTTAAAATTTTTTCTTTTATCCCAAATTTTTCTTTTCATCAAATTAGATGAAAAAAAAATCATCCTCACACAACAAGAAAAAGCACTTTTAGCGACTAAATTTTTAGTCGTCAAAAGTCAGTTTTTAGTCGCCGAAAGTCGAAATTTTTCTTTCTCTGACAAAATTTTTTAGTCGCCACATTTGTCGAGTATACGTGGTCGGCGTAGGTATTGGCGACTAATAATTTTTTAGTCACCAAAATACAGGACTTTAGCGACCAAAGTGTTAGTCACCAATGGTGTTTTACACTTTTAAAAATCATACATTTACCGACTAATAATTTAGTCGCCAATACTCACTGAATCGCCGACTAAACAGCTTAGTCGCCAAAATAAAGACTTTTGGCGACTGAAATTATTAGCCGCCAAAGGTGTTTCCGTCGAAAAAAAAAACCCACTTTTTTTGCTTTTTCTGAGTTTCGAACCGTGCCAACCGTCCCACATTCCAAACCTTTTTGCAACACACTCCCTCCACTATGCCACTACAATATCACATGAATATATATGCAATATATATTATTTATATAGTATATTGACCGGTATTTATACAAAACAATATATATATATATAATTATTTTAATTCAATATAATTTATGTAAAAAATAAATTATTTACTAAAAAAAAATTTAGGCCACTTTTGGCAACTAAATTAAATTTTTAGTCGCCAATTCTATCATTTTCGACTACTAACTATTATTTAGTCGCTAAAAAATTAGGTTCGCCTAAAAATAAGCAGTTTTGGCAACTAAACCTGTTTTTAGTCGCCAAAGACGTCCCCTTTTCGCTACTAAACTGAATTTTAGTCGGCAATTGACAGTTTTTAGCTACTATTTTTTTTTTAAGCCAAAAAGCTTTCCTTTCAGCGATCAAACAGTTTTTAGTTGGCAAAACACCTATAATCGGCGACGAAACTGTTTTTTAATCGCCAAAACCATCACTTTTGGCTACTAAATCATTTTAGTCGCCAAAAACTGTGACTTTTGGCTACTAAACAACCTTTAGTCGCTAAAACCCCTACATTCAGCGATTAAACTGCCTTTTAGTCGCTAAAACCCTTATATTTGGCGACTAAACTCTTTTAGTCGGCAAAAGTGATCAATTTTGGCAACTAATTCCATTTTAGTCGCCAATTCTACTACTTTCAGCGACGAAAAATGTAGTTTTAGTCGTCAAAAATGCTTTTTGTTGTAGTGTCACTGCTTCATCTTTTAAAAAATTTATCAAACTCAAATTTAATAAAAGATTTGATGAATTCTCAAGTTTAATATAAAAAAAATACTGCTTTGTTTCAAAGAATAGTTAGATGAAATGATTGAAATTTATTTTTGAATATTTTTTATTAAATTTAAATTTGATAAAAAAATATAAAAGATTAAAAATGTTCTTACAAGAAACTTCATAATTATTTGCCCCGGTTACAATTTTTCCATGTACAAAGACATAATTTTCACTTAAGCAATGTTATGGATCACGAAAACATTTTTGGCAAAAATCATCTTAAAGCCTTTTCTGAGCGACAGGCCGATCAATTTCAAATTTTTCTTATTGTCCAAGGGCAGTTTTGAGATATTTTTGTAATCTATTATCACTAACATTTTTGTTTTCACTAGGTCTTGGATTTTCATTTCCACTCCATTAATCTAATTTCTATATGTTTATTTAATATTCCACAAGAAATAATCTATTGTGTAAGAAAATAATATTTAAATGCAATGATAAACTAATTTTACTTCATATAAATATCCTGAGACAGTTGCATTCCATCTGCAATAGAACATTTGAATTTCCTGACAAAATTTCAGAGGCTGCCAAGAGATTTCTTTTTCTTTTTTCTTTTTTCTTTTTACCCCTAAAGGGAAAAATAGAAAAAAAATCCAAAACTCAAAAATAGCAGCTCTGACAACTTTTAAACTCCAATGCCATATAGCTCTACCCACCCCAGTACAATGCTGAGAAATGTTTGGGGTACTAATTCTGTGGCTCAAATATGGCTTAAATGGCTAAAACGACGTCGCTTTGGCCATTTTGATGTTGTTTTGTACTCAAAACGACGTCGTTTTAGCCATTTGAACCACATTTGAGCCACAAAATTTGGGCCCTCTACCATTGCTGTTACATGCTGCTATATGTAATAATTAATGGTAAAAGTAAAAAAAAAAATGATTAAATGGGACCCTTACTGGCAGAGGATGAAGATTATGATGAACATGATGACAATGACATATGAAGATGATTCAATGGTGGTTATGATTCCACAAAATGATGTTGATGGTGATGATGATGATAGTGATGATGATAATGATGGTGATGATGATGAAGACGGTGGTAGTGCTATAGGCAGAGAGAGATCACTCTAAGAAACCAGTTTTGGTTAAGATGGCATTCCTAACTTTGCTGAGGTCTCTTCCTTTGAGGGTCCTTCCAATCCCTTCACACATGGAGTGTGAAGAGATCTGACTTCTTGCAAGCTTCTTGGCAACATATTCATGTGGTGGGACCATCTCATCATCATAATCATAATCATAATCATCAACATCATCTCCATCATCACCACCATCATCAACCCATGAACCTTTCTTTGAGTTCTTGTTGTTCTTCCTATAAATCTTTGACCAGTCAGGGATGTTCACAGGAGCTGATGATTGCTGATGAGCCATCTTTGCCTCACTGTTGTTAGCCCTTGGGATGATCATTCTTGGAGTAGATGTTGAACCAAATGAGTAGTCCCTCACTTTTCTCGCCTTTGGGCTTAAATCTTCTGATCTTTCCTTCATAACGCCCCACACATCTTCTTCTTGAAAATCTTCATCTCTCATTGAATACCCACTAGCCATTGCTTATTAGCTCCCAAAAACCCAACTCAAAAAACTTGAACAACAAAAACCCGCCTCCCACAATATATAGATAAGAACAAAAAGGACTGTTTGTTTTTGAGGAAAAAAAAATTGCTTCCTTGGGAATCAAAATGGTTAAAAAAAAAAAGTGTAAGAGAATAACCTTCGAAAAGAAAATCCTTTTTTCAAAGTTTTTCTCAAATGGGTGCCCTGACTAGTTCAGTAGTAGAAATCCCCCAGAAAACACCAACCAAAAAAAGGCAACACAAAAGTGTTGTGAAAACCCAGAAACTACCCTTCTGTGCCTACGCAAAACTCCAAACTAAAATCACAGATTTCAAGGGACTTTAAAAAGGTGATCACCTGCAACATCAGAGAGAAAAGAGATAACTACAACACAGAGAAATATTACATAAGTTTTAAAAAACTTTCTCGACCATGAAAGCTGGAAAAGGTTATATAAAATAAAATTAAAAATTAAAAAAGGCAAAAGAAAATGATGGGTTGAGTTTCATGAGAATCTCAGTCTCTCATTGAGTTTTCTTCTATACTGTCATACCTGAAAATGGTTGGAAACCTGAAATGTGGATTTCAATAAAAAGTCCAAAACGCCCACAGGAAAAAAAAAGAGAACATGGGATTGAAGAGGCACAAAGAAAACTCAAAGACCAATTTCTTGCCTACTTTAGATAAAGCTTGTACATATAAATATAGACAGAGAGACAGGTTTCTTGAATTAGGTATTTTATTTTTTAAAAGAAAAAAAAAGAAAAAGAAAATAATAATCTGTTATTGTTGTTGTTGATATATAAAAAAATTCAATTGATTTATACTGAAGTTGCGTCTGAGTATTCTGAAAAGGCTGAGAGCTGATTGGGATAAGTGGAGAGCAACGATTGGTCCAACGAGGCTCGCAGATTTCGGTAACATTAAGCACAACAAAAGCTTATGCGGCATTACTCCGAGAGAGCCAGAGAGAGAGAGAGAGAGAGAAACAGCACTCTCTCTCCTCCTCATATATATCCACATTTTATCTCTCTGAAAAATGAAAGAGGAGAGAGGGTGCCTAGAAAGGGGTAATAATGGAGTGAAAGCAATTGGTTGGTTGGCTGATAGACATAGAAATTTGTGGAGGTGAGTTTTTATTAGTGATATAACTGTGACTGAGAGCTTCTATCTATTTGTAGTACCAACCTCTTCATTCTTCAATTCAATGCTTCCTGGGTTTTGGGGATTATTGCTGAGTGATGAGTTGGAAGACAGTGTAGCGGAGAGAGAAAGTAAATAAAGAAAGGAAGAGAGAAAGAGAGAGAGAGCGCGATGGATGTATATGAATGTGAGGGCAATTATATATCAGGGTGGTAGGGTGAGGGGTCTTTTCTCAAATTTATAATCATAAAGTAAAGGGATAGAGACCCCCTGAACTATGTGGGTCAACGTTTTATTTGAAGGGAGAGCTCTCCTCAATATTGATTTTTTAATTTTTTAATTTTTTTTATTATTTTAATTTGGGTTAAAAATTTTAGTTTGAAAAAGATTTTTGATTTTTATGATTTTTTTTGTGAGAAAAAAATGTAATAAATATGGGTTGGATATAATATTTTGTCTTATTAGATTAAATAATCTATTTTATTTTTTTAACTAAAATAGTCAAAAAAAAGTCCTAAGTTGGACTTTCCAAACGAAGCCACAGTGTAAATTAGAATGTATTGCTGGGTTTATAAGATTTATCACCAATCTCGTTTTAATAATGTGAATTGTATGTAAAGTTTGTCAAGTATTTTATATTTGTAAAAATTTACATTAATCAAATATCAATAACTTCTTAATTGAAACATATTTTTAACAATGGTAAATATGATTTCAAAAATAAATTATTAACAAAATATGTTCTAATTAAGGGACAACTAATATATGATCAACATGAGTTTTTTTATAGATATAACTTACTTAACAAGCTCTACACATTAAAAGTTTCAAATCATCAAAACGAAATTTGTGATGTCTATAGATCCAATAGTATGCTCAAATTCACATAGTAGACTAAGGGCTGATTTGACAAGTTTGAAAAAAGTCAAAACGTCAAAAAGTCACTATTCTATTTAAGTTATATCATTTTATTTAAGTCGCATTAGCTCTCTAACACATCACTTCAAATCCAATTCAAATCCAATCCATATTTCATTAAAAATTAAAAAATATACTTATTTAGATAGTCTCAAATAACGTTTAAGAAAAACCGCTCCATTAGTTTAGTGCATGAGGGGGAAAAATTATTTGGTGCCCTAAAACGCGATACACTTCACTAATTATAATATATATTATGTCACTTTAGTATAAAATTATATATGTTATCCTCTCCATCAATTAGAATAATGTTAAACATCACCTAACGGTCATCAACCAATAAATTCTCGCATGGGCTGTGATCAAATACTTTTTCCTCAGTAGTCTGTGTGTGTGTTCATTGTTGGAAAAATTACTCGTGGTGGTTTCCGGGCGATCAACTTGTTTATATAAACAGGATTTATTGTACTCTTTTCGTTTCAAACTATTAATTTTTTATTTTATTTTTTATTATTTCAAAATATTAATCTTATTTTATAAATCAAGTACAAAAATAATATAAATTTTTTATTGTGCCATTCTTTTAAATTTATTAACAACATAAAAAGCACAATTATGACATTGATATTCTCCAAAAAAATGTATTATCAAAAGGTAATTTTGAAAAATTAATTTTTTTATAGTGTGTAAACAAAGTATAACGCAGCGGAATAAATATTATGGTCATACCTTTCAAACAGAGTCTGAATTGAAGGATCTCGTGGGTAAATCACGTGCTTTCTGAATCTGGTTAAAATTTATTTAACCCTGAACTATCAATTGTTTTCATTAGGTCTCTAAAGCATTTAATTAAAATATATTTAGTTTGAAAAAATTATAAAAATAAAAGATATACCCTTAAGTATTATAATTTAATAAAAGACATTATCTAAATAAAATTTTATTATAAAAAATCTTGATTTTTTTTTTCTTTAGAAAGTATTTTATTGTTAAAATTTATTTAACCCTGAACTATCAATTGTTTTCATTAGGTCTCTAAAGCATTTAATTAAAATATATTTAGTTTGAAAAAATTATAAAAATAAAAGATATACCCTTAAGTATTATAATTTAGTAAAAGAAATTATCTAATTAAAATTTTATTATAGAAAATCTTGATTTTTTTTTTTTCTTTAGAAAGTGTTTTATTTCATTTTGTGCTTAAATTAGTATTAAATTCTAATTTCTCAGTCTTGCCAATAAAATTATATGAGAAAAATTCATCAATATTATAGGTTTTTTTTTTACTGCTAATTTATAATATTTATGAGCTTATTTTTTAATTTTATAATTTTTTTTCAGGAACTAAATAAGTTTGAATTAAATATTTTATGAACTTAATAGATTCAATCAATAGCTTAAGGACAAAATAGATTTTGATTTATATACTTTAGGGACTAAGTAGATTCAATCAATAGTTTATAAACTAAATAGATTTTGATTTATATACTTTAAGAACTAAAGTAAACTCAAACAATAGTTTAAGAACTAAATAGATAATTTGGCGATAGTTTAGGGATAAAAAGTATAATAAATCTAAATTATTTGAGAATAATAAATAAATCAAACAATTAAACTTTACTTAAATGAAAAAATTACTTGAGAATAATAAAATACTCAACTAATTTGTTATGTATGACACCTAAATCCATTTCTCCATCTTTATTTATCTCATTTAAATTATTTTTATTAAATTAGCCTACATTTATGGTTGAATATTTATTTTATTATTATTATTATTATTAAATTTTGCTGGAGATAAACTTTGCTGGCGGTGGAGTTCAGTTAGCCTTGGTATATATAGATGAGTTGAAGACGTCTACGGGTATTCTTGGCATTTCAAGATTTATATTTGATGACATCAGCAGTTTCTATTACTTTTGGTAACGTCAGTCACAAATTAAGAGAATCTTGATATTGTCAGTAACAGTAGGAAAAGTTTCTATAATTATTGAACTGCATTAGAGATCTCTGTATTTGTTAAAAATCTAAAGGGAGATAAGTGTAATTTATCCTAAATAAAAAGATTATTGCTTCACGCCATCAAGGCCTATTTTGATAAGTGGGTTAAAAGTCACTTCCCAACTTTTAACCCATTTCTTCCTCTCACAAAAAAGTCAAAAAACAGTTTTTAACCATCTTCCCAAAACACCAAAAATGATGGGTAAATGTAGGGATGGCCACGGGGCAGGTTTGCTATTCCCTGTCCCCGTCCTTGCCCCTGCCCTCGCCTCACCCCTACTACGGATGGAATTTTTTAACCTCACCCTCGCCCCCTACAGATACTCGATACCCGTGAATATTTAACCGCATTTTAAATTGTCAAAAAAATTATGAACCATTTAAATTTTTATCACACTAAACAATATTTTTTTATTTTCATATTTATATAAACAGTGAGACTTTTAATATTATTTTCTTATATCTAATTATATTATATTATATATATATATACATATATTATTTATTTAAATATTATTAATTATATTGGGACGGGTTTGGATCGGGAGAAGCAATACCTACCTCCGCCCCACCCCCGTTGCGGGTGAGCAAAACATAATCCACCCCTGTCCCACATAAGTGTTGGGGCTTGTAAAATTCGCCCCATTCGAGCAAGTATGGGCGGGTCCCTGCGGATTAGATTAAAATGACCATTCCTTGGTAGATCAAAATACTCTTAGGCCAAGTTTGGGAAGACTAAAAAAGTGCACTTTTTGTCTTTTTGGACTAAAAATTTGAGGTTGAAAATATGGATGTTTGGGTTAACTTTTTGACTTTTTATTGAAAAATGTGTAATAAAAAATTGTAAAAATTGATTTGTAGAGAAAAATTTGAATTTGGAGTTGTGCAGCCGTAATTGTTGACTTTTGGTGAATAGTGTTAACTTTTTAACTTTTTGAGTAACTTTTTGACTTTTTGACTTTTTTAAAAGTACCCAAACTTGGCCTTAATATGATTAAAAAACCTAGATACCGCGTGTCCATGCTAAGTGCATCAAAGTGCCACATAACCGGCTGGTGTGAGTGCATGCACACTAATATCTATTCTATAATTTCATATCCAAAAAAATACTTCATCTAACTCTTTATTAAGAACTCAATCTTTTACTCTCTTTTGAACGTGGGATAAGTTCCAAGTTTGTTTCAAACTTTCTAAAGAAAAACAAGGAGGGTTTTAAAAAGAAAAAATTGCAAATAGATAGGGCAATCATAAAATAATTACACTACAAATAGGAATATTTTTTATGCGACTTTGACACGCAACAAGAATTACACCAGGGCACCATGCACACATGAGAGTTGCACTATCATGAAAAAAAAATTTTTTTTTTTTGTTACTACTCCACCTAAATACAATTTTTCCTTTTAAAAGCACCCAAAAACTAAAACATATATTTTTTTAAAATTCCCCAATATTCATTGATTATACATTTTTTTGATAATTTCAAATCAAAAAGCTCACTCCACTAATACTCTTCTTCATTGTGTGATGGCTTTGTTGGTTTCAATTTCATAAATTATTTTTAGACGAATTTTTGTTTATTTTTAATAAATATATTTAAAAAGCGAAAAAAAATTAAGAAAATTATGAAAAAAAGTCACTAAAAACAAATGAAAATTCAAACAAAAATACACATAGATTTTTGTTCGAATTTTTGTTTATTTTTAGTATTTGTTTTAATATTTTAGAATTTTTTTTTTAACTTTTTAAATGCTTCTTCGTTGGTTAGGTACAGCTAAAAAGTATAAAAACAATTGACTAAAATATGAAAAAAAAAATCATTAAAAATAAATAAAAATTCATTTAAAAACAATTTTTGAAAAATCAAACCAAACCGACATACTTTTGAGATTTTAATATTTTTATTTCATGGATAAAATTAAGATAACCACTAGGGGAGCTAAGAATTTAAGATTGCTATACATATTAATCATAATATTTGTTTATTTTTTCTTTTCATGACAAGGTATCACTAAACATGAGCATGTAATTTATTATTATTTTTTATTTGATCAACGTGTGAGATATTAATATGACAATCATCGTAAGAATTAACTCAAAGGGTACGGTTGAGTAGTAAGATCTTTAGTGTTATACCCTCATGTTTGACTCTCTATGAGACTATTAAAAGTTGAGGAAGACATCTGACCCATGTCCTTCCCTAAATTCGTCCATGATAATAACATATTATAAAATTTAAAAATTATTTTTAATTTGTTTTTTTAAATTTAGAGACAGG